GATCTTTCTTACATTCATGTAAGAGTTGAATATTTTCTATAATATTCCATGAATCCAGAGATATATGATGTTGGCGTGACTTGAGTGCATCTTCCCAATTTTCATTAACATCACAAAGGTCAGACACCGAACGCCAAGGTACAAAAAGTGTGAGAAGAGCTCGACTATATCGCTCTTTAGTATCTTCACGATCATGTCGAGGAATTTGAGGACCATAGAGAATCGGTATATGAGCCTCACTGTATTTAGTCAACAGATAGGTTGTTGCTTGTGGATGCTGTTCTTGAAAAGGAAAACGTTGATTTGGTGGTCGGCCTTTTTGAATCCTTTGTGGGTCTTATGTGGTGGAAGATTTGGATAAATATTTTGTATCTGTTGCATTCGTTTTTCTCTTGTAAAATGTACTAACGAAATCGTATAAACAGATTTTGCTTAGAGTATCTGATCGATATTGATAATCAACTCTTGTGTTGACAAGTACAAAATTGTTTTTATTTTCAGTAGATTGAATCTGAAAATTTTCTTCATTATCATCTTCAGCTGCAGTATTTTCATCATCAAACACATTGTCATCGTCAATTACATCTATATGTGAAAAAAATATATGGATGTTTCTTTGTTTATTCAATTAGATATATACATCTATGTTTCCTGCCTTGATATATAAGACAAGAATTATATTTAAATTAGAATAAATGAGTTCGATACTCAACACTTATTTTGTGCAGTATCATAAATAAATTACACTTATGTGGTTCTTCGAGTATAAACTGTTTGAAAATCAGAAACAGTGTATAACGTTTTCCATCCGTCAATGTGATTGTTTTCTCTCTTTCCGTTCTCTCGGTCTATGAAAACAAGTGTACAGTTTTCAATGATTATCATATATATTGTTTTTCGTTTCGTCTAAGTTGTGTCTATCACAAATGTCTTTTCTTTCTCTTTTTTTCTTGTTCTCACTCTTTTCTCTATTTCGCTTTGCATATACAGAAGAAAAACAATTGCTGTTTCAATAAAAGTTAGTGGAAAAACAATAAATGTAGAAAGGCAAAGTATTATCTTACCATGCGAGGCATGTTCTAAATTTTGTTTGATGCGTAATTCGTTTAATTCCGTTTGTAGAAATATCTCAGTTTGAATTAAATAAAGACCTTGAAATTTGTGTGTAGTGTAATGGTCGCCCCAGTTCATGAGATAAGAGGCAACTTGAACTCCAGATAGCTCTTGTTGAGAAGCAAGTGTATTGTAACAACGCAAAACCAGTTTGCGTGATCTTTCTATAGCACTTTCCGTCTCTGTTTGATCTGCTACATTTTTGAATGATGTAATACTTTTTTGAATAAGAGAGAATGTATCATGAAAAGATAGACTCGTTTTTGTAATATAATCAGTGATATAATACACAAGAGCCTTAGTATCACTACCAGTCCAAATAAATTTAATATCCATGTTGGAACGACATGATGATATAATGTATTCATTAAAATTATTAATCCATGGATGTGATCGTCGCATAGAAATATGACCAGTCTCCGGATCAATTGTCGATACTGATATCAATTTGCGTGGCATAATCAATCGACAAATTTTCTTCGCCATATCTTTACAATATTTATAACACGTATCACTATGTTTGTGAACATTACCTGATTCAACAAGTTGTGTCACATCAGCACAAAATCGTGACCAAAAGTTAGGTAAAGATGGATTTGGAGTAGGCAAACATGCTGGAGGTAGCCTTGACTGGATATCTGAAACATCCATACCTAAAACGATAATTATGATTTTGTGTATCATTAACGATTTTTTAAATCATACTAGATATTGATTGATCATGTATTGGTGTTTGTAATAATTCGGTGCGTTGTGGAGAAGCATAAGGAATTGATGGAGAGCCACGCAGATTTGGCGGAGAAGCATAGGGAATTGATGGAGAAGATTGGTCTTTCATCGGCGTCAACCGAATACCATCTTCATTTGTATTTTCTTCTAAACCTGCTAAATCAATAGTACGTAAAGCTGCATAAATATTATCACTTGATAATCGTGTTGGAGTATTGAATGATCTTGGCGCTGCAATATAGAAGAAGAATGCGATATTGAAATTAAAGAAATCTCTTATACCATCTAAATTCTCGAAGATATATTTATCTTTGAATTCATCTAGATCTTCTTTGATGATGTCTTCTAAATATACTATCAAATTTTCACGAAAACTTGGATCTTGAATTTTGTCCTTCATATCAGCTGGCTTCAAGTCATGATTAAGCCAAATAAGGAGATGCTAATGAAGTGAACCTCGTCCTTGACTTTCAACAGTACCAAAATATGCTTTCACAGGACCGACTACACCACCAAGAATCATTGTATCTAAGATATTAGAAATCAATATATGGAAAAATTTGGCAGTAGCAACAGGATGAGAAGCGATAATTTCGGCACGCTTGTATGCGTCCATAAGTTGTTCGGCTTGAACATTGTCCAAATCAAGTTTCACACCTGCAAAATATAATGCTACGGGACTGTGAATATCAGCTGGATTGAGAGTGAGAAATATGTTGGGTAGACTTTGATTAAAAATCATTGCATGAAGATGTGTACGTAAGGATGTACGTGAATATGCTGAACCCATAACTCGACCGCCGATTGTTCTAATATGATTTACCAGTTTACCTAAAGCCTTGTTAGATCCTTTATTGTATGTTCCTGTAAAAATATTTTTAAGAGCTGCCTCAATATCACCAGTGTTCAATGAGTGAATTTCTTGAGCGGAAGATCGAAAATAAGGCTTCGTTGCTATAAGTTGAGCATGGAAACATGCATCACGTCTTTGCAATAAATTAAAAACTACAAATATAAAACTATGATTTGTTTCAAAACGTCGATCATTGTAGCATAAAAGATAACGTATATGTTCTCGTAAATTTATGGTGAGTGGCCGTGTTCGATCTTCAGGTGCTCCAAGTCCATAACAGAATAACGTTGGATAGAGACCTGCTAATAGTTTTGGATTAAAATATTCATTGACAGGTTTGGAAGAATGAGGAATCAAGTAAATATTTTCAACATCCATTTCATCATTTGTTCCATCGTTTTTGATTTTCTTTAGAAGATAATTATTTATTTCTTCGGAAGATATCGACGAACCATTCACGTCGAGAACAGCACTATTAAGCAGAAAAAGCTCTTAAAAAGTTTTCTTTTCTAGCTGTTCCTACCTGTTATTAATAGGAATGACATTTGAGATATTCAATTCTGTTGAGTTAGATAATGGATCAGGAATATATCCAACTCTTTCAGATGGTACTTCTTTATCATTTAATATCTGTTCCATTGTTGTCATTATGGGTTCTGGTATATCATCTTCAGGTAGTTGTGCGATATTATCTAGATTTATATCGATATTCTTATAAAGTATATTATATTTTTTCAACCAACGCAGCGCTTCAACAATCTTTTTCTTTCGCACTGTAAGAATTCTTTTGAGTTGAAGACGCTCTGGAGGACGAGCTCCAATAAAAATCACTTTGAGAGTGTCACACAGATCGGCCATTTTAAGTGGTAGACTATTAACAATGTTTGGTGTATTTTGAAGAAAAGTAATACAATTGCCTTTTAATGCACCTTGAGCAGTCGCCATTGAATGAAAAGGTGACTGTAGTTTTATTATACAACTATTGTGTCGGTGTAATGATATCAATTTTTCTTCTGGGATGGTTAGCCCTTGTAACTCAACGGGAACATCACCTAACCACATGTTGTTTGCTACTGAAAATTTAGGAATCTGTTCCTTCGATAAAACATTACTGCATTTTTGACAAAGTATACACATATTCATATTATTTTCTTGATATATGCCATTGACATAGACAATAATATCATTTTCGTAATAGAAATAAGAGGATTTTGAAGTTGAAGAACCTAAAATAAAATCAGGATTGCATATATAATCTTGAATGTTTTTGGTTATCCGTATTAAATTACCGTTAGAGTTTTTCGAAGTAGATGATTGAGTATTGATGACTAAATTTTTAACTTCATCAGAAATTTTGAGTAGATGTATATTAGGAATTTCTGACATTGGCATTTTTATTGACTCCTGTTCTGGACTACGAATATTGCAGACCGCACAAGTCACTTCAGCCAATACGGACATAGACATCTGGGAAAGAAATTGTTGCAAACATTCTTTTTTCAAGTCAGTAGGAATTGGCGCTGGCCAAGTTGAATGAATTTGACTTTTCTTTTGCTTTGTCATATTGATGTTGTGCTGTTGAATAATGATGTTATCAGATGTTTGTTTTTCTAGTCTTTTTCGGTTCTATTGGCCTGACTTCGATCCCTTTGATAATTGATCCTTAACTGATATTGATCATCTGTTTCATTTCGTCGTCTGGATCGAGTTCGTTCTCTATCTTTTGCAAGTCGATCTTGCCGTTGTTCTTCAGGATCACTTTCTCGTCTGGATCGAGCTCGTTCTCTATCTTTTGCAAGTCGATTTTGACGTTGTTCCTCCGTCGCATTAATTCGTCTCAGACGGACACGTTCTCTATCTTTCGCAAGTCGATTTTCATGTTCTTCTTCCATGTTCGTCTGAGCCTGTTCGATTGCAATCGGACTAGTTGCTTTAGTGCGTTCAGTTTCAATATTGATATCGCTACGTACACGTCTGCTTAGAGAAGATTCAAATTCAGGAATGCGTATTTGAGCGACTGCATTGTTCTTAAATGTTTTCTTTTCAGGAGTCTTAAAGAAAATAGTTTCGAAAATGAAAATTGTTAAAACATTTATTTAAGGTGGAATCGCTTACTTTGACATTAGATAATAATAATTGATTCCTTTGATCAAAATCATATTGCTGATTTGGTGCTAAGAGGGGCACAAAATGATTTGGCCTCCATGCATTATTAGTCACCACTCGCACATGCATTTCTTTCCGCACATTCGACCACAAAACTGCAACTTCATAATTAGCAACGATCGGCGGAATAGGTGTATATATACTATTCATCACAGCCATGCCAGCTTCAAAATCAATTTCCGGATAGACACTTCGTATATTGCATTTGAGTATGCTACATAAAGCACAGATTTCGTACAATCCTGAATATGTACGATTTTTGCATATAGCTTTAATAGCTATATCAATACGCCCTGCCCGATGTGTATGCATATCGGAATAAAACGCTTCATTTATTACGAGTTCAATAATCGTGCGAACTAAAAAATTGTCAAAATTTTCCTACTATCACAACGCACATGTCAAAAACCTCTACGAACCTCGTAATTCACTTGCTGTTAGTATTGCGTCATTCATCAAAAGAATAATAGAATGATATAAACCATTTCCATCAGCATCAACATCGACTGGAATAAGATGCTGTACGTCCGCCGATGCTTTTTCAAGATATTCCTTTGCAATCAAATCCACCACATGGATTCTATCATCGAGCACCCCATGAGGACGAAACTCCAATGGTGGCATCATCGATTCCATCTAAACAGTACAAAATACATTTGATACCATACGAATATGTACGTACTCGTCGAATTCGTTGTACAGCATTAACAATCTCATCGTGATAAACGATACTTTCAGAACACCGTTCCAGAACTTGAAGTAAACGTCCGAACTTCTGCGAACGAGTCATTCGATCACAGTTAGGACAACAATGATTTACACACTGTGTAGAACAAAAAATACATTCGACAGTCATAATTGATAATACGACTAAATTCCAATTATATGAATAAATCTGAAATAAGACATCAACAAAAAATCTTTTATAAAATGTACCAAAAGTCTTATTTGTTTCTCTTTTGAAC